CCTTCTGATTTTCAGTCCATGAGAGAACCATTTCCTTAGTTAAGCATTTTCTGGAATACTTGTTAATTTTGTTTCAAGAAGTAGAAATATGGGTTGAAATAACCAAGATACCTCGACTGGCTGACTATTCCTCACCTCTCTATTTAAACATGAATGCATCGTTCTCTTAAAAATTAAACAGAAAAACACTTTTCAGCTCTTAAAATTATGTTTAGTAGTGCTCATGTAGCTGCATCCTGAGAGAGCAGATGTGAGGGTGAACTGGGGGTTAGATTGGCAGAACTTGGGGCTCAGAGGATTTATACCAGATCCTGTTATGAAGGGTGCCACGTCGATGTACTTGATAGAGATGTGTGTGTGAATGGATGCATATGTATGTGCTTTGTTTACAATTATAATTACATTAGAAAGTCAAACGAACATGACCTCACTCAGTTTTCCCTACGAGGCTGTTGGAAACCACAGAAAATGTACTGTCTGATCTTTCTCCAAGGCTAACATAGCAAATGGTCACTCTCTAGAACAAGCTGAGTATCCAACAAAATAAACATGTGATTGGTGTAGAAATGAGAAGAACACAGCCTCTCCCTGTAGACTCCCACAAAAACCCAAAGTTTATTCCTCCGCAGAAGAGTGTAGACTGAATGCTGGCACCATGCTTCTGATTTTTTTTTTTCTTCTTCTTTCTTTTCCCCCCTAGTTTATTGCAGCCAATGACAAGCTGTGGTTCTGGCTGGAAGTGAACTCCGTAGTAGATTTCTTCACGGTCCCCCCAGTGTTTGTGTCTGTGTACTTAAACAGAAGTTGGCTTGGTAAGTCAACCTCTCTTCCCTTCTCCTTCCTGGTTCCCGAGCCATGGCTGAAATCTAGGTGGTGGGGGGTGGGGGCTGGGCTGTTTCCATACAAAGAAAGTTTTATGTATTAATGTGAACAGCTCTCCTGGAGTTTTAGAAGTTGATGCTGACAGTTCGTTTTGGAGCTAGCCAAGAAGGATTCGCAGTTAGTGCTTCAGGTGATACAGTTTTATGATTGTTGAAGCCCAGAGGTCATCACTGTCACAGCCAGGGACTCTCTGTTAATGGCTTTGTCACTTTTCATTCAGGAACTTGGAGTCAGGACTGGATAAAGAAGCCTATTGGGAACAAGGCCAAATTCCTGAGTGGCTGGTTCAGGTGCCCCAGGAGGCCTGCCTGCCAAAGTTAGATTCTGTCTGCTTCTGAGTTTTATGAAGAGTGGTCTGCATGATTTATCCGTAGCTGCGAGTTTGTTGGTGGGGCAGTGTGAGGTGAGTCACCTCTCACCTTGTAGGAGACCCAGCTCCCTCCCTGTGTGAAGGGGAGAGTTTTTACTGGTGTTGTACTTGGCAGGTCACTTTCTGTATCAGAACAAGGACCATTTGGTGAGAAAAGTAACTTGCTCAGAGGATAGAGCGGAGAGCTTAGAGAAACAGCTTCAAGGTTCTCTTTGTTGCATTGATTGATTATTTCCCTAAAGTATTGTAATCAGTGAAAACATTCAAAGATGTGTAAAGAAAACGTTAATCAT